ATCACCAGACTGATAGGGAAGGCAGGTCCTCTCAGTGATCATCAAGTTGTACTCTTGCTCAAGACGTTAAGAAAATACAAGAGAGTATATCTGATAGTATTGTGGATAGTGTACATGTACTTTTAAAAGAAAGAATGAAGGATGACAACGATTGTGTGATTATGGATGATAACCTTCGGATGCGGGATAGTATTATGAGGCATGTTTCCGATCATTATTCTCATTATCACTTTGCGTTATACATCTAGTGGGGGAACATGGGAATGGTCAATTAATTTAGTAAGAATGTACGTTGCCGTATGAGTTATGGTTTCTGTATTTTCTAAGCTATCATGTTTAATCATCATAGGTTATATAACAATATGAGGTCGAGTAACAGTGATGATTGAATAATAACATAACTCATAATAGAACGGAAACTTGTCCATCCTCTTCTTCTCCATCTTCATCAAACATGCATATCGTTCTTGTTCTTTTGTATTTGATCCCCAAAAGGATCCTCAAAGAACTTAAGCAGTTTCCTTTCCTCTCCCGAGTTAGCAGGGAAACCATCACGTCCAAGCCGCAGGGACAGTACATCTTTCCGAACCTATCAATCGAGAGATCTCCAGATCGAACCCTGGTACGGAGCTTATTCTTCACTTCTGGAATGCCACCAGTTTTCCAAACTCCATCTGCTGAGTCTGGCATCTGATATTTATACCTATTTATGATACAATTATCGATCACTTGATCGATAATGACTATCTTTACTTTTCTATCCTAAACTTCCCCCTCACTGATGCAACCCTCTCCTTCTCATCCTCTTTCCATATATTATCCCACCAATTCGTTATTGGTGATAGAGCCTTCGCTATCACCGTATTCCTTTCTGCATCTAAAGAGTGTTCAATACGAGGGCTATTATAATAGGCTAATATAAAGGGTAGTGCTACATTGACCAGAGTGTAGATAAGGAGATACGAAAATGAGGAGGAAGAAATTTCAAGTAATAATCACTCTTGTTAGTTGTCAGACGTGTGTACCTGTGGTGGCTATATATTAATGAGGAAGCCTGCGAAAGATTCTGGAATATAATAGAAATGGCTTAGAGTAGTAAAGCATCG